ACGTTTGCATGACATTAGTACATCATTTTTATAAACTACAAATGATTATCTTTAACAAATATAGGGCAAAAATCCAATTTTCATTATTTTATAAAGACTCAGACATTTGGAAAAAAGTTTTATTTTTATTGAAACATGAATGAAATAGAATGTTCACAGTATCACTAATTCAGTTCAGTTCAGTTCACTTGAGATGCTCAATTGTGTCCGACTCTCTGCGACCCCATGGACTGCAGCATGCCAGGCCTCCTTGTCTATTACCAACTCCTGGAGTTTACCCAAACTCATATCCACTGAGCCGGTGATGCCATCCAATCATCTCATCCTCTGTCATCCCCTTCTCCTGCCTTCAGTCTTTCCCAATATCATGCATGGTCTTTTCCAGTGAGTCACTAATTATAAACCTCCTTATAAGCAATCCTTATATTTAACAATGCAATGAAGTTTAACTAATTTGTGATTTATTCACAAAATGGAATTGTACACAAAATAAACATTGAGCAATCTAGAACTATATATTATTATTCATTAAAAAAAAGCCAGACAAATACACATAAAAGAGCAACATATACAGAATTTATTTTATGTAAAATAACAAAAATAGGTGAAAATAATCTATGCTGTTAGAAGTCAGAGAAGTGGTTATATGAATGTGTGTGTGTGTGTGTGTGTGTGTGTGTGTGTGTGTGTGTTAGTGGAAAAGTTCATGGTAGAAAGAAAAATAAATGGTTCTTTTGGAATCCTGGTAATGTTTTAGCTTAGGGTTTGTTATTGCTGTTTAATTTGGATTCTGATCATACAGATGTGTTAAGTTTTAAGTGTATGTTGTATGCATGTGCTAATATGTATGAAAGTGTAAGTCACTCAGTTGTGTCCAAATCTTTTCAGCTCCATGGACTGCAACACCAGTTACTGTGTCCATGGACTTCTCCATTCAAGAACACTGGAGTGGTTTGCCATTTCCTTCTCTAGGGGATCTTCGTGACCCAGGGATTGAACCCGGGTCTCTCACATTTCAAGCAGTTTCTTTATCATCTGAGACATCAGGCCGTGCCCCATTAGTATGTATATTATACTCCAATAATAAAACACCACAAATAAGGAGAAAGTTGACAACATAAATATTATTTTCCCTTGTGAATTTTTAAAGCAGTGCAATAAGCATTGTTCAAACATTTGTCCATTATGTCCTCAGCCATGAAGTCATGAAAAGCTGCTGTATTAAGAGGAGAAAATTAAGGGTTGCAAGAAAATCTAAAATGCCTGCCCAATTAATACAATTGATTTTGGACCTCTGGGTTGCAGTAGAGCAAACTTAACCAGGGAAAACTGTGGAAAGTTATCTAACATACCTTTATTTGTATAGGAACATAAAGATGTCCTGCATAATCCTCAGACATCCCATTGGCTTTGCTTGAAGCTTTAAAATGCTTTGCATCTAATTATCAAACTGTATCATTTCTCCTCAGGGAGAGTCTCAAAGGAGCAAAGAAACCCATAAATTCTTCTCACTGGGTTGTTAGGAACACACTGGGAACAGAAGGCTCCTCATTAGAGGTGAGTAGATTATATCTGTTTTTGATTCTATGAGTCCAGTAACTCATGGCCTCATCAATGACTTGAGGTTTACTTCGTAATACCCTACCTTGGTCATTCAGCCATAGCTTTAACAATCTGTTTTGATAACTCAAGTTTCTGGTCTAATACCCTGTTGATTTCGGTATTGACCATTTGTTGATGTCCATATGCAAAGTCGTCTCTTGTGTGGTTGACAAAGGGTATTCGCCATGACCAATGCATTCTCTTGGCAGAATTCAGTTAGTCTTTGCCATGCTTCATTTTATTCTTCGAAGCCAAATTTGCCTGTTACTCCAGGTTCTTTTGAGTAGAACATTTTTTTTTTTCTGGTGTTAGAATTGATTACATTCTTCAAAGCCAAAGATGGAGAAGCTGTTTACAGTTAGCAAAAATGAGACCTGGAACCAACCGTGACTCAGCTTATCAGCTTCTCATAGCAAAATACAGGCTTAAACTAAAGAAACTGGGGAAAATCATGAGGCCAGCCAGGTATCAGTTCAGTTCAGTCCCTAAGTCATGTCCGACTCTTTGCGACCCCATGGACTGCAGCACACCATCATCAATTCCTGGAGTTTGCTCAAGCTCATGTCCATTGAGTTGGTGATGCCATCCAACCATCTCATCCTCTGCCATTCCCTTCTCCTCCTGCCTTCAATCTTTCCAGCATCAGAATCTTTTCAAATGAGTCAGTTATTTGCATCAGGTGGCCAAAGTATTGGAGTTTCAGCTTCAACATAAGTCTTTCCAATGAATATTCAGGACTGATTTCCTTTAGGATGGACTGGTTGGATCTCCTTGCAATCCAAGGGACTCTCAAGAGTCTTCTCCAACACTACAGTTCAAAAGCATCAATTCTTTGGTGTTCAGGTTTCTTTATAGACCAACTCTTATATCCATACATGACTACTGGAAAAACCATAGCTTTGACTAGATGGACCTTTGTTGGTAAAGTGGTGTCCCTGCTTTTTAACATGCTGTCTAGGTTTGTCATAACTTTTCTTCCAAGGAGCAAGTGTCTTTTAATTTCATGGCCACAGTCACCATCTTCAGTGATTTTGGAGACCCCTAAAATGAAGTCTCTCACTGTTTCCATTGTTTCCTTATCTATTTGCCATGAAGTGATGGGACAGGATGCCATGATCTTAGTTTTCTGAATGTTCATTTTTAAGGTATGACTTAAATCAAATCCTCTGTGAATATGCAGTGGAGATAATGAATAGATTCAAGGCATTAGATCTAGCAAACAATGTGCCTGAAGAACTATGCACAGAGGTCCATAATATTGTACATGGTAAATAGAAGGGGAAAAGGTGGACATAGTGAAAGATTTCCTCTTCTTGGGCTCTAAGATCACTGTGGATGGTGACTGAAGCCATGAAATCAGAAGATGATTGCTTCTTGGCAGGAAAGCTATGAGAAACCTAGACAGTGTGTTGAAAAGCAGAGACTTAACTCTGCCAACAAAGGTCCATATAGTCAAGGCTATGGTCTTGCCAGTGGTCACATATGGTTGTAAGAGCTGGACTGTAAAGAAGACAGAACACTAAAGAATTGATGCCTTAGAACTGTGGTGCTGGAGAAGACTCCTGAGAATCCCTTGGACAGCAAGGAGATCAAACCACTCAATCTTAAGGGAAATCAACTGAATACTCATTGTAAGGACTGATGCTGAAGCTGAAGCTCCAGTATTTCAGTCATCTGATGCATACATGACTCAATGTAAAAGTCCCAGGTGCTGGAAAAGATTGAGGGCAGAAGGAGAAGAGGGCATCGGAAGATGAGATGACTGGAAGGCATCACTGATGCAATGGACATGATCTTGAGCAAACTTTGGGAGATGGTAAAGGGACAAGGAGGCCTGGTGTGCTGCAGTCCATGGGGTTGCAAAGAGTCAGACACGGTGAGTGATAGAGCAACAGCAAACATCTTTATTATGTTTTTTGATGAATGCTACACTTTTAGTTTGATGTAGTAGGCTTGTCCTCTTTGAATAGTGAAAAAACAAGGTAACCCTTGGAAAGGGAGTTAATATTATTAAGAAACTCCAGCTTTTAAGATTTTCATGATTACACTTGGGCCCTTAATGAAGATGTGAAATGTGATATTTGATATCATATGATATAAAATGATATATAAATATGATATAGATTTTATATAAATTGAATTTACTTCAAAATTTTAACACCAAATAATGACAGATTCCCACAGTGTTTTCCAACTATGTCTGAATTAAAGGCATTATATCCATGTGTTTATAGTACTTGTAGTTTATCTGCTTCTAATATAACATGAGTTTCCCAGATGTATCCATATCATTGTAAGGATCAATGCCATTTGAAAGTCATCATTTTTTATTTTTTGCTAGAGGTGAGGTCAAAATAAAATATCAAAGCATCCATTTCACTACATTGTGGCTCCATCACACCATAATATCTAATTAGTTAGAGGACTCTCACTCCCTTCCACCTACAAATCTTTGAGGCTGTCAAATTGTCCCTTAAATGACTAACTGGACATCTAACGGAGACTGGAATGAAAAAGAAAACTTGTACAAATACAAATTTATGCACAGGACAGCCCTTTCAAAATTATGAAGTGGGAATGTATCTTTTGCTTAAAATTTAGATTATTTTCAATTCTTTATTTATTTAGTAGCTCTTACCAAAACTCACTTTATTGTCTCTCAAAAAATTGCTTTGATGTTTAAATATATGCATTTAAATATATATTTTTGATCTCTCTTTGTAGATTACATTTACTGTCATGCATTTATTGTTGAAAGGTATAATTGGTGGCACCAGCAGAGGGGATGGAGGAGAAGGATTGGGAAAGATTTAGCTTCTCTAACCTCTGAACTTGGTGTAGTTTTACAGTGAAGGTCCAGTGTTCAGTCTTGTCCATTGTATTTTGTACATATTTTCAGGTGATTATTGGTCATTTGTATATCTCCTGTGAGAAATTTCTATTCACATCCTTTGTTTTTAATTTGGGTGTTTTTCTGTTGTTGAATTATAAAAATGTTTATACAAAGCATTATTCAATAATTTATATAAAACATTATTCAATACATTAAACACATCAGACATATGATTCCCAACTTTTTCCATTGTTAGGGTCACACTTTTAATACTTTGAGAATGTCCTTTGACAGGCAAAACTTTGTTTTAATTTTCATTTAGAGTAAAGTCAATTTGTTTATTTTTGTTTATTTTATTTTTTTTTTTTTACTGTTTGTGTGTCATATCTAAGACAGCTGTCAGGAGCTAAGTGACTTGGGAGAGAGAGAACTGAGCTGCCAATTAAATTAACAAACCATAAGCATAAGATTTAAGATTTTAGCCACTTATTACAATGATAATCTCATCTTAGCTCATGAAGGTTAATAATTATTTTTATATTTATTCCCAGTTTATGTTTCCCGAATGGCCTGGCTGGACAAACACAATCTGACACTGCTGAAGGAATTCATCCTCGCAGGAATCACGGATCTCCCTGAGCTACAGGCGCCTTTGTTTGGACTCTTTCTCATTGTTTACTTGGGCTCAGTGGGGGGTAACCTGGGCTTGGTTATTCTCACTATGATAGACTCTAGGCTACAAACACCCATGTACTTTTTCCTCAGACACCTGGCTTTCACTGATCTTGGTTATTCAACTGCTGTAGGGCCCAAAATGCTAGTAAATTTTGCCGTAGATCAGCGTACAATCTCTTATCATTGGTGTGCTACCCAACTCACTTTGTTCAGTATGTTTATCATCAGTGAAATTTTCATTCTGTCTGCCATGGCCTACGACCGCTATGTGGCCATCTGTAACCCTCTGCTCTACACAAGCATCATGTCACAAAGGTTATGTCACAGACTAGTGGCCATTCCCTATCTATACAGCCTCTTTTTGTCTCTGCTGACCGTCATAAAAATTTTTATTTCATCATTTTGTGGTCATAATATCATTAAGCATTTCTATTGTGATAGTCTGCCCTTGATATCTTTGCTTTGTTCAGACACACGTGAGATTAAATGGATAATTCTGATCTTTTCAATTTTTAATTTGGTTTCATCTCTTCTAATAGTTCTTGTGTCCTATATCTTGATCCTTGTTGCCATCTTCAGGATGAAGTCAGGAGAAAGCAGACACAAGGCTTTCTCCACCTGTGGATCTCATTTGTCAGTGATAATCATATTCTACGGCACTCTCTTCTTTATGTACGTGCAGCCCAAATCCAGTCATTCCTTTGATACTGATAAAATGGCATCTTTATTTTATACTTTAGTAATACCCATGCTGAATCCGATGATCTACAGTTTGAGGAACAAAGAGGTGAAAAATGCCCTGTCTAGAAACTGGAAAATACGTGCAAATATACTATTTAAAATTCACTCTAGTAGGATATGCTAACAATGGACGATGTGTTAGTGAATGTATACTATTATTAGTGTTGTTTAAGCCTTTTAAATTTACCTCTATTGGATGAACAAGAATTGATGTATGAGAAGCATAGAAATAAAGAAAACAGTTCATTACTTTGAAACAAAATATATCATTAACACATGACTAATCCCTGCTCAGATATTCACCCATACCTAATTTCAGGCCCTCATCTAACTGCCATTCCCACATGTTCTCACGTGTGACCTATTAACGTGTCTCTTTCTTAAAGCACTTATTTTTATAAACCAGAAAATGTATAGCACATTCACAGTTTTTCTGTAGTACGAGCAGAGTAAAAGGTACAAAAAGAATGGCTGATAAATATTACATAAACGATTCATTCAGGAAAATAAACATGCATTGCTATTTTAACAACCAAGACTCTTTCTTCATGAGGCTTAGAGAAAATACAGAAAATTTGAAGACTGAAAAGTGAGCTCTGTAGTATGGTTGATGTTGTTGAGCAAAATATGAAAGTGAAAAAGAGGAAGTAGCCAGGATGGAACTTAAATTTTGATTAAGGTTGTCAGGTAGCCCTCTGTAAGAATATTGGTTAAATAAACACTTGAGAAGTTGAGTGAATGGAATATGTGTATATTTAGGGGAAGGCTGCTCCTGGTCAAAAAATGAGCAGAAGGTCTAAATAGACATTTCTCCAAAAAGACATACAAAATTAACAGATGACTAATCCCTGCTCAGATATTCACCCATACCTAATTTCAGGCCCTCATCTAACTGCCATTCCCACATGTTCTCACGTGTGACCTATTAACGTGTCTCTTTCTTAAAGCACTTATTTTTATAAACCAGAAAATGTATAGCACATTCACAGTTTTTCTGTAGTACGAGCAGAGTAAAAGGTACAAAAAGAATGGCTGATAAATATTACATAAACGATTCATTCAGGAAAATAAACATGCATTGCTATTTTAACAACCAAGACTCTTTCTTCATGAGGCTTAGAGAAAATACAGAAAATTTGAAGACTGAAAAGTGAGCTCTGTAGTATGGTTGATGTTGTTGAGCAAAATATGAAAGTGAAAAAGAGGAAGTAGCCAGGATGGAACTTAAATTTTGATTAAGGTTGTCAGGTAGCCCTCTGTAAGAATATTGGTTAAATAAACACTTGAGAAGTTGAGTGAATGGAATATGTGTATATTTAGGGGAAGGCTGCTCCTGGTCAAAAAATGAGCAGAAGGTCTAAATAGACATTTCTCCAAAAAGACATACAAATGGCCAATAGGCATATAAAAAGATGCACAACTTTGAGAATTATTAGAGAAATGCAAATCAAAACTACAGTAAGTTATCACTTCCCACTGTTCGGAATGACTATCATTTTAGAAGTCGACAAATAGTTTATGCTAGAGAGGGTGTGAAGAAGAGGGAATCCTCCTACACTGTTGGTGGAAAAATATAATTTGGTGCTGCCACGATGGGCACAACTTAACGACTGAACCACCATCACCACTATGGAAAACAGCACAAACTAGAGCTGCCATATGATCCAGCAACCCCGCTTCTGAGCACATATATGGAGAAGAGCAATTCAAAAAGATACGTGAACCTCAAGGTTCATAGAAGCATAGTAACAAAAGCCAAGACATGGGAGACACCTGTCCACTGAGGGATGAACAGACGAAGATGTGGTATAAGTACATGATGAAATACTGTTCAGTCATAAAAATAGAAGGAAATAATGCCACTTGTATCAATACTGATAAATTTAGAGCGTACCATACTAAGTCAGAAAGAGAAAGACAAATACCGCATGATATCACTTACATGTGCAATCTAAAAGCAATGCTACAAACTAACTTAGCAACAGGACAGAAATAAACTAGAGGCATGGAAAAAAAACTTATGGTTAAAGTGGAAAGAGGGGGTAGGGATCAATTTGGAAATAGCAGATAAAGACTATATATATCTCCTTTATGGTTTATTCAGTTCAGTTCAGTTCATGGTTTATTACAGGGTATTAAATATAGCTCCCTGTCCTTTATATATAGTTGTATACGTATATAAAATCTACATGATACATTGTTACTTTCAGTTTATTTAATTACTTACATAATGTCTAGAGACACTTTTTCCTTTAAAGGACCTCAGTATTTGCTTTGGAAGACCTTTAACTGGTTAGATGAAGCCCACCTACATTTTGAGGAGCAATTGGCTGTACTGAAAGCCTATTCATTTAAATGTTAATAAAAATTTAAAAAAGAATAATTTTCACGTGACACTAGACTGATATTTAACTAAACAATTGGGCACCACAGCCTAGTCAAATGGGTACAGAAATTAACCATCAAAGCAGGAAAAAAGAGAACATTAATAAAGGGTAAAAAAATAGGAAACCAATATATGTAACTTATTTACAGGTACATACAAACTGCTCTGGATTATTAATAACTACACCTCATTACTTGCATTCTGTTATATTTTAATGCTTCAGGGACTGTCAAAAAATTGCTTGGCAACTCCTCAAGGAGAATCACAGAGGGAGAGAAAAATGCATAAATTGTTCTATTTGTGTTGCAAAGCACATGAGAACATCAGAGGTTTCATTACAGGTAAATAGCATATTTCATGTGTTGCCTTATTTTAACAATAGATGGATAGCTTTGGTGACATTTGCAAGATAGCAGTTTTATTCTATGACAAATCACAGCAAAATGTGAGGATATTTGGTAATTTTCCATGTACAACTTTCTATTGATAATGCATGGCCAGAATAGAACTGCATCCCTTTTCCTGCCGATAACCATTCAAATATTTTCACAAACACTAAGGAGCATCTTTGAAATGTCAGGGTCATATTATTTAATATTTGCAGCCTGGCGTGCTGCAGTCCATGGGGCCACAAAGAGTCTGACATGACTTAGGAACTGAGTAATGGCAACAGATATTTTCTGCAAATGCTTAATTGTATGAATAAGAAAGGACACAACTGTGGGACAAGAAAACCTGAAGATTCAGGAATTTAAAAAAAGTTTTAAGTCAGAATTACAAAGCTGCTGGTGGTCACTTTCTTGTTTGGTATTCTTCAAAAGGCTTAGTCATTTAGTGACTCTGGGATCTTATTGCCTCCCCCAAATATTGTGTTTTTAATGAATAATTAAATCAAGGTATTCATGGGAATTTTTCTGAGCTCTTGATGAGCAAAAGCAGGGATTTCCATCTTGCATTGTGATGTGAAGAGAAAATTTTGGAGGCTAGGAGTTTTGAGTACCCAGTGTTTCAGTAAATCTGCAATCCAGCAAGTTCAGTTTCCAGAGGAATTAGACAGAAAACACATAACTTTTTTAGAGTATAGTTCTAAAAATAATAATCAGGAGATCAGCACAAGTAATAAACTATGGGAAAGTAATTTCATACATTTCATACAATTCTAAAGCTGGTGAAACAAACAAAAAATTCTCTTCAATACCCGCCCCCCCCCACTTTATCTTACAGGAAAAATCAGCATTTACCAATGTAGTATTTTTTTTTTCTTTCTGTAGCCTTTCATAAGAAAACTAGACAAAGATTTATGTTACTTCATGTTTTCCTATTTGTAGTGTCATATTTCTGATATAAGAAAGCATTTATATGGGGATAGGTTAGGATATCAGAGGTTCAAAATCTTATAAGCAACGTACTTGATGAGATAAATGTGGATTTCCAATCAACACATACATAATTTAATTTTATGAATATTATATCTTTACTTACTTTCCTAGAGTTCACAGAGAATCCTGACACTTATTTTTCTTGTAATAGTATTAATTCTATTTCCTATTTTTTTTTAGTAAAGCATTAGTATATTTTTAAAAAAATCATTTTTTTTTTTTTGCTATTGCTTTTCTTTTAATTGTTGACACTCCATCGTGTCTGACACATTGTGACACCATGGACTGCAGCATACCAAGTCTCCCTGTCCTTCGCCATCTATTTGAGCCTGCTCAAACTTATGTCCATTGAGTCGGTGATGCCATCCAACCATCTCCTCCTCTGTCATTGCCTTCTCCTCCTGCCAATTTTTCCCAGCTTCAGGGTCTTCTGTAATGAATCAGCTCTTCACATGAGGTGGCCAAAGTATTGGAGCTTCAGCTTCAGCATCAGTCCTTCCAATGAATATTCAAGATTGATTTCCTTTAAGACTGACTTGTTGGATCTCCTTGCAGTCCAAGGGCCTCTCAAGAGTCTTCTCCAACATCACAGTTCAAAAGCATCGATTCTTCAGTGCTCAGCCTTTTTTAAGGTCCAAATCTCACATATATGCATCACTACTGGAAAACCATAGCTTTGACTACACAGTCCTTTGTTGGCAAAGGACATCTTGTTTCATGTCTGGTTCCAGCTGTTACTTCTTGACCTGCATACGGGTTTCTCAGGAGGCAGGTTAGGTGGTCTAGTATTACTATCTCTTTAAGAATTTTCCACAGTTTGTTGTGATCCACAGTCAAAGGCTTTGGCACAGTCAATGAAGCAGAAGTAGTTGTTTTTCCTGTAATTCTCTTGATTTTTCTATGATCCAATGAATGTTGGCAATTTGATCTCTGATTCCTCTGCTCTTTCTAAATTCAGTTTGAACATCTGGAAGTTCTCAGTTCATGTAATGTTGAATTGTAGCTTGGAGAATTTCGAGCATTTCCTTGCTTGCATGTGAGATGAGTGCAATCGTGCAGTAGTTTGAACATTCTTTGTCACTGCCTTTCTTTGGTACTGGAATCAAAACTGACCTTTTCCATTGCTGTGGCCACTGCCGAGTTCTGCAAATTTGCTGGCATATTGAGTGATCACATCATTTTGGTTATCTGGGTCATTAATGGTTTTTTTTTTTTTGGTTCTTCTGTGTATTCTTGCTAGCTCTTCTTAATATTATCCGCTTCTGTTTGGTACATACCATTTCTGTCCTTTATTGTGCCCATATTTGCATGAAATGTTCCCTTGGTATCTGTAATTCTCTTGAATCGATATCTAGTCTT